CTGGAAGGGCGTGGCGGCCGGACGAAGAGAGGAGTGAGGGGTGGAGCGCAGCCGACCCTTGACGCAAAGGAGTGCACGGCTGTGCAAGCAAAGGAGTGAGTGACGCAAAGACGCACAGGAGACCGGAGACAAGACGTTGACTAAACATGCTACGGAGGCATGGGAGGGACGGGTGACCAAGACGGTGGTGCCACAGGACTGTCGGGTGGGTGAGCGACCGACAGGAGCACGACGCAGCAACCTGACCATAAGCAACTACCTGACTAGACGCAGTTGCCTAGGGAGACTCAGTGTGGAGTGAAGAGACCGGAGCGGGGCTCCCAGAGAAACGTGGCAAGGATATCGAAGGTGTCACCATCCACGCAGGTCGCAACATGCTTAGACGGAGGAAACCAGGTGCCGACGTGGAGGTCCTGAAGGTGTTCAACACCCACCAAGTTCTTGAGGGGATGTAGAGACCAGAGAGGACACCAGAGGGGGCAGCTGGGCATGGGAGGGTGGTAGAGCTGTATGCAACTGCTGGTCCTGAAGCAGAATCAGCTAGTGCAACCGGAACCGGAGTAGGAAGCGGTGTGAGAGAGATGTGGTTGCGGAAGAATCACTGAGACATGTCAGAGTCCAGCGTGAAAGAGAGCGACGCTTTAGCCTTATGCGCACCGAGATTGGAAGCACTAGCACCTACACTAGCAACATGCAAGGATCCTAAGCCACGAATACACGAGCAAACATATCCAACAGCACTCTAGTCAACATTGGCATACATTACAGAAGCAGATGCCATGGCATCAACTAACTCTACCGCAGACATATTTCACAAAGCTGGAACACGAACACGAGCAAGTGGGGCCCAGTCCGGAGCAGGGCCGAAGCCATACTGGGCACATTGCGGTCCTTAAGCTGCACAAAGCACTGACCCGGAAGGTGAAAACGGCCACAGCGCTGACCCTGATGAGTGCCCGTACGAACAATGTACGGGCATGGAGGGAAAGTGACACTACGTGGCACCGAGCTGGGTGGACCACCGCCATGAACAATGCTCCCTGGTCCACCAGGACCCCCTTCTGAGGCTGTTGCTGCACCTGCCGCTTAACCTGCAGCTACGGCTGCCCCTGGTACTACTATTGCTGTCCCTGTTGCGGCTAGTGCTGCTGGGACTGCTGCTGCTACTGTGCCGTGTACCAAGCAGCCACTCAGGCACCCCCTCCCGGCAGGCCCGTAGGCCCAAGACCACCTCCAGTGCCACCTCCACCAGACGGACTAGTGCCACCAGCACCTCCGCCACCCCCGCCACTACCACCAATGCCACCATCCCTCCCCCCCTTTCTTAGGGGGGTGATAGCAGGAGGGTGATAAGGACAGTAGTACGGTCAAACGCTCCTAGGTTGGGAAACAGGAACGGCAGGAAGAGAGGACCAAGAGAGGCGGAGGATGGAGTGGAGTAACAGGCCTGAATCACAACAAACAAGTCCTTGGCGGATCGAACCTGGGTGGAGTGAGCCTCCTCACACTCAGGAGAAGGTTGCCGAGCTCAATGCAAGCCGCCGCGTCACGAGACCGCCGCGCCGACAGAGCTGTACTTTCCCTGCCTAAGTGCTCCCAATCAGTATCAGTAGGCTCGTCAGGGAGGGAAACAGGGGGTGGAGGCTCAGGTAGGTCACCAGAGGCGTGCGCCCGGAGGGCATCATCATCCTGGCACTGACTCTGGAGGAACTGCTTGGTGCGGAGGAGCCAGAGGGGAAGTCTAGTGCTCTACCCTATGGATCAAAACGCATGACTTGAGTGCTCTACCGGTCTAGTAGCGCAAGGCTAGGAATGGCAAGAGCTAGAGACGAATGAAGGGTGTACGGCGCCAGTAGAAACGAATGAAATTGGTCTAGGAACGGCCTGTGCGAGTAACGAACGAAGCTAGAGTGGCTAGGATAGGAGTAGCCGAAATGAACAACGAGACATGGCCGATGGGCTAGGATAGAAACCGGCGAAGAGGGTGACGAATGGGGCCAGATTGACAAGCCTAGGAACACTAGGGAAAACTCGAGGTGAAACACAAGTCGTGCCCGGAGAGTTGAATGCGGCCGTCAGACGCTGTGAGGAACGTCTATGGTAGGAGGCGTTTTGGAAAGAGCCAGGTACGGTGGAGGGGTAGTTGCTGCGGTCGGTGTGCGTAAGGGTGGTGGCACGGGCAACTGTAGCTGTGGGCGCAGTAGGTGATGTTGTTGCATAAGAGGTCTGTACCACAGTTGCAGCTGTGCGTGCGGCTGCAAGGGCACGCATGGCTGCAGTGGTGCGTGCGGCTGCTCCTGAGGGTGTGCGTGTGGCTGCTGCTGAGGGTGTGCATGCGGCTGTAGGGGCGTGCACGCTGTAGTGGAGCGTGCGGCTGCAGTGGCGCGTGCGGCTGATGCTGCTGTGCGCGTAGCTGTGGCTGCGCACACAGCTGCGTGCGGCTGCTAATGCACGGGCAGCAGGCGTGCACGTGGCTGTGTGCAGGCGGCAACACCTGCGCGGTTGCTGGCGCACAGCTGTGCCTGTTGGCAGCTGCGTGCGCGCGGCTGCGTGAGTGTGCTAGCGCGTGCGCTGCTGCACTCTGCTGGCTGCGCCGGTACAGGGCGGGCTGCAGGGCGGGACAGGACGGGCTACGGGGCGGGGTGTGGAGCGTGCGGGCCAGGGCAGTGCGCTGCCTACAAAGGGGCAGGACGGGGCCTTACAGGGCGGGACGGGGTGCACTCGGGATGGGGCAGGGGTGCGGCCGGCTAAGGGGCGGGCGTGACCTACTAAGGGGCGGGGCGGGGCGGGGCGGGCTAGGCTAGGCTCGGGTCGTAACCTACTCATGATACCATGTCAGAATGAGAACAGCGGATTTTGTGAATATGAAGCATGGATGATATAAGTAGGAGGCCTTAAAGTGTTATGCCGCTTACAGCATGCCTCACAACAACCTACAACAACAAATATATTGCTTGATGACCCCGCCGCCCCATAAGTCTCGTCGCGCCCCGCTGGCCCCACTAGCCTCGTTGCCTCGCTAGCTCTGTTGCCCCATCACCCCATAGGTCCTGTCACGCCCCGCTGGCCCCGCTAGCCCTGTCGCGCCCCACTAGCCTCGCTAGCCTCGTTGCCTTGCTGGCCTTGCTGGTCCCGTCACCCTGCTGGCCCCATCGAGCCCCGTCACCCCGTAGGCCCGTTGGCCCCGTCGCGCTCTACGGTGCATGCGTGGTGAGCGCGCGTGTAAGAATTTGTGTTTGGTGTGGTTTGGACTTTGTGAGTGCGTGTGAGTGTTATTTTCTAGGTATCTGAAAGGACACTTCCGTTCAAGAGCTTTCTGGCGAATCAAGAATCGCCTCCATCAGAGCAAAAACGAGAAAGCTACGAGCGATCAAAGACATATGCTTTCGATATATTGTTGTGGCGACTATGGGAATTCACGGGGTGACTCTATATGGAATAAGGGACATTGAGGGTTGGGAAATTTCACCACTCTATTGTAGTTGCTGCCAAGTGTTTGGGGGATGCCAAACCAGGTTGGAGTGTGGCCAATTTGGGGAATGTGGATTTGGAAGTTCGAAAAATGACAATGGTCGCAGGTGGACATGACACGAGTGGTGGGCATGGTACACAACACATGCGGGATGCTGAGGGTGCGCTACGTAGAACACGGTGTGATCTTCGTCGAAGAATGTGAACACCTCTCTGCGCTTCTCGAACGACACACGCTTCCATCCCGTGGCCTGGTTACAGTGGAGGGCATGGATGGATGAGGGAATGATGTGACACACCGTTTCAAGCTTCACGAGTTGGACATCGATGGCCAAGAATCAAAGGAAGACTTGAAAGTTTGTTTCTCCCGTGCCACCCTGTTTGCGCAGGAGGTGATTGGCCGGAAGCAGTACCGGATGCGCAGCTTAGATTCCTTTGTTGGGGCCAAGCTATTTCTGCTCGACGCCTACCCGGATGGCATCGCCAAGTACGATCGTGTCTGTGCTGAGTGTTTCAACTCCCTACACAAGCTCTTCAACGCTGATGCATACGCCCAGCCAGGAAAGAACAGTTCATATATTTCTCAACAATTGCGTATCTGTAACAATCATTTACGGTAGTTTCTGCAGCATGTACACGCCAAGGTACTATCTCTATGTCTTGTTCGTTTGTGCCTGCTAGGTGTCAACTGGAAGAAGGCGGAACAGGAGCTGCCACGTTTCATTCGGGTGATGGTCTCTCAATACAATGACCAGACCTTTCACGCATGCCTGAAGAACATGTTGTGGTGCGGGGAATGGGAGACATGTTTCTTAAACCTCGTCCGCTTGTGGGTGGCGGTGGCTGTATTACCGCTCAGCAGCGTGGAGTGTGAGCGTGGCTTCATTCAGACGCCAGAACATCATCTAGTCCTGGCTTCGTGGCAACATGTGCAACGCCAGGCTCGCCGACCTGATGTGCATTTCTCTGCTTCAGTATGAACCGGACTGGGATGATGTTGCGAAGCTGTGGCTCGAAGCGAAGAAGCGGCGTCTTGCAAGAGAAAGTCAGTGGTGTGGCCCAAGGCAACAAACGCAAGGGAGAGAGGCAGAAGTTCCTTCAGCACTAGAGACCGAGGCTTCTGAGAAGCCTGACCCTGCTGAACTGCAGCGTAGAGAGAAGGGAACGCTAGAGTGATTAGCGATAGTGATGATGATGCAGTAGATGTTCGTGCAACTGTAACTCTTGACAGTGATTCTTACTCAGAAGTGTAATTTCGTTTGCCATGATGAATGTAGTCCGTGCTGGATACAAGACTAGGTCTCCACCATATCTGACTGCTAAGATTTGTTTATTGAAGAAATCTGATTCACACGACACAAAACTTCACAATATCTGATGGATCAGACGGGCCCTTCGGGCCCGTCTGATGCATCAGGCGGGTTCAAACACTAGCAAGGACCCTGCCCTTCACACCCCCTCACCCTCCCTCTATTGTATTGAAGATTTAATAAGCCCCTATTGTCTCATAGCCGGGAGATTACGGTACTTCATAAATGTTCGGCTGAGAAAGGCAACCTCGCACCTCCACCATCCTCCTTGCGCATTCGTGCCTGGACAGCATCAAAGACCTGAGCCACACTCCTCACATTAGCCACAAAGGGGGAGAACCAATCACCCTTGGTGAGCACGAGGTGGTAGCGCAGGGAGCAGGCAGAGGCCAGCGACTCGAAGACTGTAGCATGGCAGCCTTCTGGGCGAATCTCGAGCACCGAGCTTTGTTCCGGCATGAAGATCATGTTGGTGAGGGCCGCTCCGTGGGCTGCTATGTAGAGACGTGCTCGTGACAGGAGTGCACGGGCTGAGGAGGGGGAGGAGGGGAACGGGTAGAAGGCGGGGTGGAGGGTGTAAGGGAAAGAGGACAGGCATTAGGCATGAAGAACATGTTGGTGAGGGCGGCTCCGTGGGCTGCTATGTAGAAGCGTGCTCGGGCGTGCACGGGAAGAAGGAGGGCATTGGAAGTGCAAAGGATGAATGAGGGAGTTAAGGATGAAGAGGATGCTGATGATCTTGTTTATGTGAGTGAGTGCAGGTCCACAGCTCGCTATGTGAATTCTCAATCAAAGAGAGAGCTCAGAAGCTGGGAGAGTGTTGGGGCACTTTAAGAGGAAGGAAGAGCTGTGGATTAGGCATAGAAGATTCTAAGCAGGGAGGATGTTTGGCACGGATGATTCTAGGCACAAAAGATATAGGCACGGAGAATTTAGGCTCGGAGGATTTAGGTATAGAGGATTCTTATCCACAGAAAATCCTAGCACGAAGATCCAGGTCTCATAGATGGCGACATAAGTTTGCGTTGAGTGAAAGCCCAGGACACGGAGTAGAAACCGAAGGGGCAACAGGCACCTAGAAAAGACACACATGCATGGCTGCAATGCTTCAACACACAACACGAAAGATTCGGACCAGCGGGAACAGACCCTCTCTTCGACCCACCTTGCAGAATCGGCAGCGACCTGTTAAACACCACCACTCGCTCTTGCCCAAACCGCCGCACCACCTCCTCCTCCACCTCCCGGAAATTCACCATCACCCGGTGCTGCCCCTCCAAGCGCTTCGCGAGCACCACCACCCAATCGTGGGGGAAGGAGCGCGCTTCAGCAAGGGAGAGAGGGCGGTGGCTGCGGTAGGTCCAGTCGGGGTGGAAGAGGGGCAGGCCTGTGGCGGGCAGCAGATGGCGCCGGCGCAGCAAACGCCAGAGGGGCCTGCTGGGACGGTTGCAGTCTTGGTAGATCGGCTGGGGGATGGGGGAGGTGGGGAGGTGGGGAGGTGAGGGAGTGGGGGGAGTGAGGGAAGAGTGAGTGGGGAGATTGGACGGTTGAAAGACATGAGTAGGTCTGATGTGAGATGACATAGCATGGCATGGAATGGGATGACATGGGATGAGATGGCATGGCATGGTATAATTTGGGATGGCATTGCATGGCCTGGCAAGCATGGCAGGGCATGGCATGGAATGACAAGCATGACAGGACAGGGCATGGTATGGCATGTGAGGATGTAGTCTACCTGATCACCTCTGTATGCCATGCATGCATGCTGTGTAACTGGGGCACCACATTTGCATGCTTTTCCATGCCATGCCATGCCATGCCATACCATACCATGCCATGCATGGCCTACCTGGTACACCACATCAGCGTGAAAGAGGTCGTTGGCGAGTGTGGGCAGCAGGCGACTATGATTTGTCTGGATGCCGATGAGTGGAGCGCCCAGCTGCTCGTACCAACGCACCTGCAGGGAGGGGCGTGGACATGGACATGACACGGGAAAAAGTTCTCAGGGCGCCTGTAAACGAATCGGATCTGCCTGGATGCCAATGAGGGGACCGCCCACCCAGCTGTGTGTACCAACGCACCTGCAGGGAGGGGCAAGCGCAAGGGAAAGGGCATGAGATGGGAAGATTTCTTTAATCCACTCAATGTGTGGGAGCAAGGCTGCAGAAAGGTTAGACGGCAGCACGAGGTGCAGCAGGGTGCAGCAGGGAGCAACAGGGAGCAACAGGGAGCAACAGCTACAACGGCTGCTGTTAGGCATGCAGGCGCATGGGTGAAACCCCACCTAGGCAGCCCTAGCAAGCTTGGGCAGGCGCTGCAGCAGTGTGGACAATTGGAAAATGCTCACAATGCAGATGCTTGAACCAGATCAGTCAGATCAGACCATACATGGCCGCCTGGAACGCAGGTGCTTCAATCAAGCTTTGATCTCTCTTGAAAATGTACGGCATGCAGGCGGTGCTGGTTGACCCGACTCGACCGAAACCCACCTGTTCATGCCTCATGAGCACAGGCACATGTCGGAGCGCGGTGGACATGAGGGGACATTTGAGGCGCATCAGAAGTTGACTTGACGCGAAACCCACCTGTGTTTGCCTGACGAGCACAGGCACGTTTCGCAGCGTGGAGGCCATGAGGGGCGCGGAGACGAGGAAGAGAGGAACGAGCTCCACGAAGAAGTGGTAGAAGTTGTTGCCGGGTTGGTGTGCCAAGTTGAACAAAGCTGGCAGCTCATGAACCATGTGAGTCGCCTCATACTTGGCCTGATGGTGATAGGGAAGGGAAGGGGGGGCAGTGCGCAACACGAGGTAGAGGGTAGAGGTTGTTGCCGGGTTGGTGCGCCTAGTTGAACAAGGTTGAAGACAGCTCGTGAACCTCACACTTGACCTGGTGGTGATAGGGAAGGGAGTGCACATGAGGTGCTGTGGGCCAAGAGGTTTGCACGTACTTGTCCAGTTGAGAGGGAGTACACTACACTTATGGAAGAATCATAAACGCGCCACTATGCCTGAACCATAAATGCACCACTTTTCCTGCAGTCAGCCCAGATTGAACACTGCAACAGGTTGGACATGTGCCATTTGCAAGAGAACACAATGTCTCATCGTTGAAGCACCCTCGGCACCCACACAACGCTCCCTCCATGCAAACCCTCCCTTCACGCAACCGTCTCTCATCCGCATCCCTCCTCACTCACTCACATCCCTCCTCACTGACTCACATCCCTCCTAACTCACTCACATCCCTCCTCATTCACTCACATCCCTCCCTCCACGAAGCCAGCTCTCACCGTCCCAGGGAAGCGCCCGCACCCGTTCCTCACGAACGCGTGTGAGCGGTTAAGATTCACTCCGTTGCCAGTCACAAACACATCCTCCAGCCGCATCACCTGCAGCAACAACCGCCGAGATCACGATTTGCGGGTTACGAAGCGAATTTCAACGTAAAGCGGTTGACGGCAAAGCCATTGTCAGTCACAAACACGTCCTCCAGGCGCATCACCTGCAGCGAGGTCGCATCGTGCCGCGTGAAATTCTTTCTTCAGCGGGGGTGCACAGGACGACAAGGAGGCGAGGAAGCTGACCTGGCGGTTGGACTGGCGATGGGATTGGGGTTGGGGGGGGTGGGAATGGGACTGGGGGTAGCTCGCACGCAACATTAGCGAGATTCGCAAACAGATGCTCAAAATGTTCGTTGGAGGTTTTCGAGTCGTCCCGACATACTTTGAGTATATCCTGACCGACGAGGTGCAGTCGGCGAAACGGTCTAGGCTGTGATCGCCTTCGCCAGCTTCATGATGCGGCCAGCTTGGAGGTGATCGCCTGACAACCACAAGTAGGCATTCGCAACATTGTCTTGAAGTCTTCTCTTGATTTCAGCCCGCGTGACGTCCAGATTCCGTTGGCAGGCGTGGCCCCCGGCCAAGGGGATTTGGAGTGACTCGAGTCACCTCCGCCGCTGGTGATCGGCGGTTTGTCCCCCAAGCCAAGCCACATGATAATATTGTCACGTCAGGTGATCACCTCGTATGGCCAGCGCCCAGCGATGTCCACCTGAGCACGAACAGAACAAGAGCCGCATACGCAATCGAGATGATGTGGTCAAGCCCTAAACACGCGAGGGGCCTTTTGGGTTATTCGTCCATTCTTGGCTGCTTTGCCGCGATTTAGGAAATTTTGCTTGCCTTTTGCGTAACCTACACGGAAAAGCTTTAGACCTGACTCGAAAAGAACCCTGAGCTAGTACAAACCCCAGCAATGACTTGCCTTATCGCGAATGGGCCGGCAGTGTGTGTTACACCTGGGAATGACCTCGCAACAGTAATACCTCTACAGAACTATTAGGGCGCGTGCCTATCTGAGTGTATTGTTAAGTTCCTGCTTTAAATTCGAAATATAATCTATGGTCGACCTGCAGTCAACTACGGGGTAATTTGAAAGTGTGAACCTAGCACTTGCAATTTGTTGTAGCCCCCTTTGTTGGATAAAATATCCATAGCAATTATCAATATCCAAGTCAGTACTTTTATTTCATTTACTCAATGGATGAATCCCTTGCTTCCAACAAAACCATTTCATTTGTTTTGACACACCCCCCTAGGCAAAGTGAGTGATAGCCAACACAACAAACGGTCACAAGACGAGTCAGGGAAGAGAACAAAGCGATGCAAAACCTAGGGTGGAACTCAAGATCACTACTCATTCTGAGCACAAGCAAACGGCCACAAGGCCAGTTCACATGCAGAGTTATAATAGCAAGGCAGTACACTAGTACACTGATCACAACCTAGCAAGAGTAGACATGCATGTATAAATATAGATATCAATGTACAACAACTACAAGATCAAGAGACAAGCAGGTGAGGCGGAACGAGTAGAAGCCCTAGAGCAGTGCAAAAATGTTGATGATCACCAGACCCGAGGGCCTTGGTGAAGACATCAGCAGCGTTGGCCCGAAAGGTCACGTAGGGAAGGCGAAGCTGACCACGCTGCTGCAGCTCTCGAGCAAGAAATTAGCGAAGAGCAATGTGCTTTGTTTTGTGCTCCAATCTCTGCTTGTGACACAAGGCCAGCATGGTGTCGTTGTCGATGTACAGAACTGGAGGAGAACTAGGCCGCTCCCCCAAGTCGGTCAGTAGGTAGGTCAACCAGCGTAGCTCCTATGCAGCCATAGCCCCAGCGTAAATTTCGGCCTCACAGCTGGAACCAAGCACAGAAGAAAAACGAGTGGACCTCCACGAGACAGGGCCAGAGCCAAGACTGAAGATGTAACCCTGTGACGAACGCTGAGTCGCTTGGTCGTCGGCCCAAGAAGCGTCAGAGTGTCCTGTGAGTACCACTGAGTACATATTTCGGTGTACTGTTAGTCAGTGCACCTTTCGGTGTCTACCGTGAGTCATGTAGCGAGCCAGGAGGCTGAGAGGGTACGCGAAGTCAGGTCTTGTGCACGTCATCAAGTACATGAGGCAACCCACAAGCTCTGGATACGGACCACTCGGCTCTACGGACTCGTCTGAAGGTGGAGT